TAACAGATCATGAATGATAATCAACGAAGCTTGTACTCCGAAGCTGCTATCCAATGTTTACATAGCAGCACATATACGAATCATCTATCTTGGACCTAATAACCTGCTAGGCACAAAAAGGAGACAAAATTTGCAGGTTAAAATCTTCTCAAGCCTGAGAGATTGTCCTATAAACTAGGTCAAGTTTTCATGAGGATATATAGCTATACATAGCTGTGCAAAAGAATCTGGCTGTGCCAGTTCTGACAACTTTTAATTCATTTGTAATATTCTTGAGTCTCTAGTGAAGGGTGGCGCGGCCAGCTCTTCCTATGCTGTTACGCCTTATCCCCTCAAGGATTGAGAGATCATCATGCAATGTGAATGGTGCACTGAAAAGAGAGTTGCGGACATCTGGTTAAGAGCTCGAACTGCTAATATGGTGAGAAGTATGGGAAAAAAAAGATACATACCCATTGAACTCGAAATGGGCAAACTTTGAGTCGTCTGAAATCTCAATTTCCACCCTTGCTTTCCTAGATGTCTGCTTAAAGAAAAAATGGCATTAAACACACTTGCACGTATCTTTTTGCTCGTGACCTTTCTATATGCCAGTGTTTTATGTAACTACATATCTGAGGGAAAGACATTCCTGGCACCGCGTAAGAATACCATACTTTTTAAAGTAGCCGCTACTACTGCTTATTCTAATCTACATTGCTATGCTACGTTTCAGCAATTATAAACATGGGAATGCCAGACTGCAAGTTGAGTACAAGGGTGATCTAAATACAGTTATATGTTACAGCTTAGTTCCAACTGGCTGGGTTAAGCATCTCTGGCAGTTGCAGCGCAAGAAAAAAAATACCTTGACCAGTACGAATGGAAGGCGGATGCCATTAACATTCTCCGCTGAGCTTTCCAGTGTTTGGTTACGTAACTTGATGTTTTGGAGATCATCAAACTTCAAATGAACAAGAAAGAATCATCAGGAGATATCAAATACACCAGTATATATATGATGCTATCTCCATCCCAAAATATAAAGATATTTTTGCAGTTCAATTTGAACTGCAAAAACGTCTTATATTTTGGGACGGAGGTAGTAGTAAGAGACAACGAAACCAAAGAAAAGTTGCTGCATATTGTAAGCAACTTACCTGTTTTTCGATTTCCTGGAGGAGTGCCTTCTTGTTCCTAATCTTGTTGGTGAGTTCTTTGCGAACTTCCTACAAAAAAGATGGTACCAATCAATTCAAAATCATATAGGAATGGATTGCGGTGCATCTAACCTGCAAAGTAAGCACAAAAACTGACCTCCAGCTTCTTTATCTTTTCATATCTATAATTTGAAAGGCCCATCCAACGTATCTCCTTTTTTTCTTTTGCAATAACACGAAGTGCAATGAGAACGTTGAAAGCATCATACACTCTCCGCCTAATGTTCTTCTCATCAAACTACAAAGATAAATTTGTTTTCTTTTAGCACATAAGTTTTGCACAATTACAGATATGTTTTTTTTTTTGCAGTTTGATGAGAAATGGACTTGAAAGTTCTCGGTGTGATTTCGGTCTTGTAGTATTTGCTGTAACTTAATCGTCCAGTTTTCTGCTAGGTTGTTGTGTTCTGCCGTCATAGTTGCAAAAACAGTAAGGTGGTGGTGCTGGTTAGAGGTTCTAAAACATGTGGATGTTTGTAATAAGCTTTCTGGAACCATGACATTTGGCGGGCCGACACTCTTTGTATCAGTTCCATGCTAAATGAAATTGGGAGCCATGCTTCTTAATTCAAATTTTAAAAAGTATATTCAAAAAGGGAACAGAGAAGTCCATATTATACAAATAATAAGAACAAACCCCTTGACCAATATGTGCCATGGACTTCAGCTCTGAATAAATTTCATCTGCAACCTGTAATAGAAAGTAGCTAGTTGAGGTAGTTAATGACTCAAGCAGGGAGAAAGTAAATCAGTTCCCAAGCATATTTCTTTGAAAGGTGTGTTATGTATCAGCAAAAATGGCATGGCAGCAATGTAATAGAAGTATTGATGTTTTGCCTTTCACCATTTAAATGACAGGATAATTATTTTGCATTGGCATTCAGGATGCTCTTTGTGCTTCATAAGCAGACTGCACAGTTACATGTTAGATAAAGTCATCCAAAATTACAGCAAAATTCCATTGGTGTTTAAACATGGCATTCGGGAGTGGTTTATCATGGCCAATCAGTGAAGGATACACATGTTTGAGCTTTGGAGAATACCTCATTGTATGTTGTTCTTCCTTTGGCTTCAACTTTCTCACAAACTGCAAAATCATGTCAAATGCTCATCAGATCAAAGTACCAGTGTGTCAGCAATTCAAGTTTACATTCATGACAGAAAAACATCTCGCATCAAAAAGGTTACAGCGAAGCATCTAGTACAAGGGTATAACCCCTCTATTGCACATCTATGACCTCACGAAATTTCTATCAACACAACTTCCTCTGACATAGAACCAGTGTACACCAAAAAGTAACCGTAATGAGCAATGAGCATTGCTATATACTGATACATCATATGTAATGTCACCCAACATACCATGCTCTAAATCCCAACATGGCATCAAGCTAACCAACAACGTTTTCTTCCAATCTGACATGAATTTCCTACTAAAAGTGTTTCGCGTGCTTTGCTGTGCCGCTTCTGCAGATGGACTTTGACATCCTCATGCATATACACTGGAA